ATTCATTCATTCATTCAAACATGTATGTGTAGTGAACACACTTTTAATAATTTTTTAAACTTCAACACCGTTTTAAATATTTGCCAATAGAAAAATCAATAATGCGTGAGTAATAATACGAATGAATTGAATGAATTGCACATATAACACAGACACACATGCACACACAGACACAAACACACACACAGACACACAAACACACGCACCCACAATAACAGACGCGCACCACAAATTATTTCATTACACTAAAGTTATTTTAAGAATTTCACTCATTAGTTAAGAAATATTATGCCAAATTATTTTATTGAAGTAATGATAATAATGTCGATAATAATAAATATTAAAACAACAATAATAAAAATAATAATTTATAATAATAATAAATTTGTTTATTATACTTTCATCTCGTGTGCCAGCTGCTGAAAGAGACCACCCATATTTCGACACTCTTTCTCGTAAACACTGAAATCCATTTTGCAGTTGTGGTTGTTGTCGCAGTTGTTGCTGCTGCTGCTGTTGTTGTTATTGTTTGATGACGTGGTTGATGGCGTCAACAATGTTGTTGGTGTTGGGAATGTTGTTGGTGTTAGGAATGTTGTTGTTGGTGTTGAGGTTTTTGTAAAAATGTGGTTTTTTATGCTGTTGCTTATTGTAATGTTGTTATTTAGCTGTTGTTCTTGAGGTTACGGTTGTCTATGTTAATGATTTTGTGTTGCTGTTATTGTTGTTATTATAAAATTTTTTATTCTATGATTCTGGGAATGTTTATCTTTTGGGCTTAGTAGTTAGATGGATCTCATTGTTGGCCAAAAAAGATAATTTGAGATTTTTTACCTATAGAACTTTTGAAATAATTTTCACGTTCCTAAAAAAAATGGTTGTCGATATGCTGTCTTACTTGTTTTTTGTGGTTGTTGTTGCAAGTTTTTTAGTAGTTGTTGCTGGTTTTGTTGTCGTTCCAATTGAACTTTTTCAACTCTTTCTCAATATATTATCACACTAGTCGGCTTCCAGACATAATGATACTGAAAACAAATCAAAATCCGAATTTGAAAACCCTAAAAACAAAAAACATTTTCAGAAAAAACCGCTTTATGGGCAACTTCTAAAATTAACTGTGCAACCAACAAACTACCTATCCTCAAAACATAAATAACAATTTCCGTTATAATAAATTAATCAATATTGTTGCTGGTTTGCGTTTGGGCTGTTGTTTCGTTTTTAGTTTCATATTAACTCTACGGAATGAATGATGATGACTTTATGAAGTATGTGAGCGTACATATCACCAATACAATACAATACAATAGAATATACATTAACTACAATACGCTTTATGTACAACACATACACACACGTAAGTATACATATATATGCACGTATATACGTATATATATATGTATGCTTATACATATATATAATTTAATACAATTTTTTTACCAGAATCAGAATATATAAAGCAATCACTATTCATTAACACTATTTACCTACATACCTACTAAACTATACAATAAACATTTGTTTGTTCGTTTTGTACTTGAAGAAGATATTTTAAAATAAAATAATATAAATAAATAATTTATTTATTAATTAATTAACTAATTAATTATTCATTTATTTATGTAATAAATCAATTAATTAATAATAAAATCAAAACGTTGATTAAAACTTTAATTAAAGAACTAAAAATAGACTAACATGGCAAAGATGAGCTTATAGTATATTTCTTTTTATTAAACATTAACATTCATCTAGAATTAAGAACGTATGCATGTATATGTGTGTATGTATGTGTATGTATGTATGTATGTATGTATGTATGTATGTATGTATGTATGTATGTATGTATGTATGTATGAATGAATGTATGCATGAATGTATGTGTATCTATAAATGTTTGGATACATATACTTATGTAAGTAAGGCAGTGGATGAATGAATTTAAATGTCTTAGCTAACAATTTTCATTTGAGTGACATCATGTATGTATATATGTGCATGCAAATGTATATATATATATATATATATATATATATATATATATTTATATATATATGTGTGTGTGTGTGTGTGTGTGTTTACGTGTTGTGTGTGTGTGTGTGTGTGCTTTTATTTATATAAGATTCATATACCTGACACAGTCAACTATTATGCTTATAACAATATAAATAGAGCTTAGTAAGTTGGCGTTTGTTATGTTGAATGTCTGCCTTTAATATTGTTGCTATTGCTATTTTTAAAGTTACTTGCTTGTTGATACTGAAGCTGTTGTTGTTTTTGTTGTTTTTTTTCTGTTGATGTTATTGCTTTTAATACTTTTGTTAATGGATTTTTAATGTATTTATGCTGTTGATGTTGATGTCATTGCTCAAGGGTTTGCTGATAGATTTAAAAGTCCTATTCAATTCATAAATTTCTGCTAACACACGCTCATATGTATAATTTTATTTTTTTCTTTAGTTCGTTCGTTCATTTATTCATTTGTTTATGGATTCGGTAATTCATTTGCTCATTCATTCATTCATTCGTTCGTTCGTTCGTTTGTTGGTTCGTTCGTTCATTCATTCGTCCGTTCGTTCATACATTTGCTCATGTACACAAGTCATAAAATTTTAATTAATGTGAATACTTTTCATGCATTCGTGTATTAAATTATTCTTAACATCAGAGTCTTTTTTCATTCATATATTCATTCTTGTTTTTTTTTTCTTCATTCAATCGTTCGTTTGCTCATTATGTAATTCATTCACACATTCACTTACTCACTCATTCATTCACTTAACTCATTTTTGTATCCATTCATTCAAGCCCTTACAATCAGTCATTCATTCAATACTTCTTACTAAACATTCGCATAAAGTAAAAGTTAAACATTCTTCAAGATATTATTTGATATATGATAAAATAAGTTAATGAACGTTATACTCACATAAGTATTTTAGCATTTATATCATTGTACTCTCACTCTCTCTCTCTCTCTCTTTCATTTTCTCTTTCTCTCTCTCCATCACTATTTTTCTTCCATATATAAATAATAAACATCCCTTATATAACTGTCATTTTAATTTAATGTAAATAATATTTTGTTGATTTTGCTTTTTTCAACGAAAGATCTTTCATAAACTCTTTCTCTCTCTCTCTCTCTCTCTCTCTCTCTCTCTCTCTCAAACACACATGCACACATACAAACACACGCATACACACACATACACGTTATTATTATTATTATTATTATTATTATTATTATTGTGCTGTGTTACTATTATTATTATTGATATTATTATTATTGTCTAGTTGTAGCTAAAAATTGTTATTTGTCTCATAGTTGAGAAAACTTTATTATGTGTGTTATTATTATTATTACAATTATTATGGTTGTTACTATTATTATTGCTATTGTTATTGATGTTGTTATTATTATTATAAGTATTATTATTGTTATCGTTGTTATTATTATTATTATTATTATTATTATTATTCTACCTGGGCTGATCGCTGTCTGACTCTGACGCATAGTTCAAATTGATTTTACTGTGTATGCTAACAAAAATCATCGACACACACACACACGCACACACACACACACACACACACACAATATATATATATATATATATATATATAACAATATATATATATATATTTATTTATTTATATTTGTGTGTGTATTTGTGTGTGTGTATGCTTTTTTGTGGTTCAGTGTTCAGCAGACAGACAGTGCGTAGTATGATTGTGGCTTGTCATCTGCAGGTGCCTCAACGTTAACGCAAGCTCACATCCCATATAAATTTCTAAATTGAGCAATTCTTTTTACCAGTACACTCTTTTACTCTCCTCTCTCTCTTTCTTTCTCTCTCTCTCGCTCTTTATCACTTTCTTACTATATATATATTTTTTTTATAAAAGCATTCTCACGTACAGTAGTCATCCAGTAACAGCAAGTAACTAATCAATGAAAATGTATACACATATTTATAAAATACAAAAAAGCAGACAGCAATAGAAAGTTACATTAAAAATAATTAATTTGAGAGATAGCTCAGATTGTAAGAGGGCCGTATCTGTGTTTCTCTCTTTTTTTCTCTCTCTCTCTCTTTTTCTCTCTCTCCCTTTCTCTCTCTCTTTCTTGTTTCTGTCAAACTGTTTAAAAGTGATCTGGTTCAAATGCAAGAACAAATATGATAACTGCAAAAGTAATTACAATGTGCCTTCTATTCACACATACACTCACGTACACACAACACACACACACACACATCACACTCATACAAATACAATAAATATATTAAGCCAACACCAAAGGACAAACATGATAATGCATTAGTTATTGGAATATTGGAATTAGTTCGATGTTTACTGAAAGATGATACAGAGGTTCTAATTGGGACCTTGAAAATACCATCCTAATTTTCTTCCTTCGCTTCATCATTACCATCATCGTCATAATCATCATCCTTATTGTCATCATCATCGTCGTCATCACCGTTATTCTTGTTGGAATATCTTATTTTGATATATATATATATATATATATTTATATATATTTATATATATATATTAATGGAATAATAATAAATATTTTATTTAAAATAAAAATGTGATTGCACATGTCTAAAAAATTCGTTTTAATAAAAAAAAAACGGATGGATAGAAGGTAAATAATGATGACATAAACGAGTAAAATGATGAAAATTATTTTTAGCGGAAAAATCAATCAAAATGCCGTGATATTAATAAATAATACAGTTTGGTTGTTATTGCTGTCACATTAATAATGCCATTTTTATTATCGTAATTGCCATGAGACCACATCACCATTCTCATCACCACAACCCTCGTCTCGTCATCATCTAAATAAATGCGATTGTACATGTCTAAAAAAAACTTTGCTTTAGTAAAACAAAATCATCATCATCGTCGTCGTCATCGTCAGGAGCATCCAAATCTTTTCATGTCCATCTTTAAACAATGATCCTGAATCTTCTTTTCTAACTTCCGCCTGGCCAGCATCTGATATATGCATGACGTCATCGACTCACGTGATGACGATCTATCGGAAGTCGAAGATTCAATACTCTTGTAAAAATGTGGAAATGGAGTCAGACGCCTGTTTCCACAGTCTGCGGAATGTTTTGAAGTTTTATGGTAACGATGCGACGAATGGGATGGTGAACTGTGTATCAGCGTGTCGCCATCGGCATCATCTTCGTTATTTTCATCGCCATGTCGTCTGCACGCTCTAGGATTAAACTGTAGAGTTTGCTTACTTCCATCTGAAAACTGTTTATATTTGTTGATGTTTGGCCTGGAGTGGTCACGTGATTTGCTGACGTACGCTGATTGGATGAGGACGCTACTGCGGTTGTCGCAGTTGATTAGCGCCGTTGTTGGGTTGTTACGCTGAGGACATCTGGGAAAAGATGAACAACGCTGCTGCTGCTGTCGTTGTTGCAGCTGCTGTTGCTGCAGTCTGCTGATGTTGCAGCTACTGTTACGTTTCATAACATTACTTGGATCGACATTGCCACAATGTTGCGCGCAGTTCTCACAGCGAGATGACGACGACGTACCCAAACTGCTTTCACGCACTTCATCCATCCTAGTTGGCTCACTACAGTCAGGTCCATTTAGTTTGCGGGTTAGAATTTTTTTTAACCAGTTTGGGAAAAAACTTCCTTTCTTATAAATTTTTGATGTTATGTTCCAGCTCTGTCTCTTACGATTTGAGCAACAATTCTTGCTGACACGACCCTCCGTCACTCGATTGAGAGTCTTACTGAACGTTTTAACTTTCGTTAGACAGTTTTCTTTGTTACATATGTCTCTACTGCTGTTACTGCTGCAACTTCTGTGATTATGTCTCTTGTTAATCTCATTACTACTGCTTGCGTCAGCAACTTTTTCCTTTCTATGGCTGAAATTGCTTTCGTTATTAATTTGCCTACATACGGTGAGAAGACGGTGGTCACTAGTAGTGCAAGATTTAACGAGATTTCCGCAAATATTCTTCAAAATGTTCACCTGACAGTTTCTCCTGCTCCTGTTGATTTTCAGTTGTTTCAGATCAATGTTCACGCCGTAGTCGCATAGGTTCTGCAGGGCCAGCAACTTACGTCTCGAGATGTTACCGGCCCATCGGTATTTGTTCATAATTGCCTCAGCTTCCTTCCAACATGCACTCACATCAACGTTCTCCGCGAGGGACTCTCTTGAATGTTCCAATCTGTTGCTGCCCCATCTCTTCCGTTCGCTAGTCTTCAGATGTTCGGTCTCGTTGAATAATCTATTTTTCAAAATCTCTTCACATTTATAACGCTTAATTTTGTTGCAAGCATCGAAGTCAAGTAAGCGGATGCGGTTGAAGTTCTCCACCTCGCTACAGTCTCCATCAGGTGTTGATGTTTCAGCATCTTCACAACTTCCAGTTTCCCTCTTGCAAATCTTTCCTTTGTATTTCATCTTTTCAAAGTAACTCATAAAGTCTATGTTTTTAGAAGGAATTAACTTGCTTTTGAATGCTTCTTGATTCGTTTTGAACATTTCAAGACAGTTTGAAACTTTCAGAGGTTTCAATGAAGATGATGTTCTTGTCTGAAATTTAAACAAGTTTTTGTCAGATTTTAAAAAACCCAAGTCAACTTTTGGTTTTGTTTTATCTTTCGATATTTTGGTTTTTCTACAGATATTTTGTAAATCTAATTTGTTTTCATCGGTATGTTTGCTCTCAATTTTAGTCGCGCCCCTGTTCGAATGTTTTGAATCTTTCAACTTTAATTTCTTGTCAGAAAGAGTGGATGACTGATTGAGAGGTGTACATATTTCTGAGTTATTTTTACTATCAGTCGTCAATGTGTTCAGTCTTACTTTGTCGCCACGATCGTTCCGATAACCATCGCAGCTCGATAACGCTCGTCTGCAAACATCAGAGTTAATTTGCTTAAATTGAAGCTGCTGCTGTTGATGTCGTTGCTGCAGTTGTTGCTGCTGCGGTTGCGGTTGTTGTTGCTGTTGCTGTTGATGTCGTTGCTGCGGTTGTTGTTTTTGTAGATTTTTTTCATAGCAGTATTTTAGATTGATATATTTGTTGTTATCTACAATTTCTTTAGGAAAACTTCCCACAGACTCCATGTTCGATTCTTTGATGGCTTTTTGTTTGCTGTTTGATGCTTTGTTTTCAACGACAACGGATTCATTTTTACTGGCGTCAGTTAATGGAAGGTCAACTTTGTCATCCAGTCCGTATTTGGCGTGATTCTCGCTGCAGACATTTTCAAATCTGAGATTTTGTGAGATTTTTGATGAATTTTGTGCATGCTGTTGCTGTCGTTGTTGCGGTTGTGGTTGCTGTGACAGTTGTTGCTGTTGTCGTAGTTCTTGTAGTAGTTTTTGTGGTCGTTGTTGAAGATGAGGTTGTTGCGAATTTGAATGTTGTGAACATGTTTGTGAACTTTTTCTCTGAACTGCTTCTGGCATGTTTTGCGATGATCGCCTTTGCTGTTGGTCACTTATCTGTTGGTGGGTTTGTTGAATTTGCCGCTGGTCCTGCTTAAAAATATTTTGCAAATCCTTTTCGTATTGAACTTTTTCGAGGAGAACAAAACTTTTAAGACTTCCACTCTTCATGTTTTCGGCGTTGAGTAGGGATGGTGCAACCAGCTGGCTGGTGTATGAAGGACACATGTCTGTTTGCGTAGTTTGAGATTGTATCGTCTGACAGTATTGGTTGCGGGATTTTGTCGAACGATTTAATAATAAATTTTCATCATATGCGCGTTGTTGTGGTTGTTGCGGCTGTTGTGTCTGTTGCTGCAGTAGAAGTTGTTGAGGCTGCTGCTGCTGCTGTTGCATGCGATCGGAACATTTTTTCAAAAATTCTTCAATTTTTGCAATTATTTTATTATCAATCGATTCGTTATCCGAACAAGAAAATGCAGAACACTGCTTTTGAAATTGTTGTCGTTGTTGGCCATTTTGTTGTTGTCCTATTTCTTGTTGTTTCAGTTGGCACTGCTGATTTTGATCAACAAGTTGTTGTTGATTTTGTTGTTGCTGATGTTTTTCATTAAGTCGTTGGATAACTCCATCGCAACTGGAGAAGGATGAAGATTTTTTCGAGAGTTGTTTCTGTTTGTTTTCGACATCAACCCACCAACTTTTTGGTATGGGTTTGTAATCAGCGAGCGACGTGCTGCAGGACGGTTGCTGCTGCTGCTGCAGTTTGCTGCCGTACTTTTTAATGCATTCCTTCATTTGTTCCTTCAGTGATTTTTGTTTTGCTTGCTCTGGTTTGTCCTCGAGGCATTTCTGCTTTTGAAACTGTTGCAGCTGATGGCTCTGCGATGGTGAAAGTGAACTGCATTTCTGGCTGAGTTGCTGTTGTTGTTGTTGATAATCTTTTCCATCATCTGAATATGTAATCATGATTGAAGATTGAGGAATACGGTTAACAACTGGAAGAGCGTTGTCGACATAGTCGGGAGCAATGTTCTGTTGTTGTTTCTGTCGTTCCATGTACTGTTGTTTCAAATATTGACAGCCTTCCAACATGTTGTAATATTGTTGCTGGTGTTGTTGCTGGAGTTGTTGTTGCACGTGCAAGCAGTAGAGTTCGTATTGTCTCTGCTGTTGCATCACTTTCATTTTTTCGACGTGTTCATCTCTGCAGAGTGGTACATAAAACTGAGGCCGCCAGCAGCTGTTTCTAGTTGATTTCAAAGCCGAAACGCATGTTGTCGTCGTCGCGAGTTTTGTTGATTTTGTTGCGTACCTGTTGGCGGTCGTCGCGGTGATCGTTGCGGTACCACAATGTTTCCACGGCGGGTTTTTCTTCATGCTTGTGAATGTTTTTTTCTGCGTGCATTCGTTTGTTTTGTTCGGTGGTTTGTATTCGTTGCATACGAACGTGTTGTACTTCTTTGTTGTATCAGTTGCAATGCATTTGTATTTATTCAGAATGTTGGGTTTGGTGTTGTATTGTTTGTTGCAGATGTCCAAATTGTTAAAATTTTTTCGAACTTCCAATGCGTCGTAGTCAGGCAGAAATCGGCTGCACTTGTTCAGCGCGTTGCCATTCCTGTTCAACGGTCTGTTTTTGTTTGCGTTGTTCCACTGAAGATCTTGTAAGGATGAGGTGGAGTGAAATGATGGCAACAATGTTTTTATTGTTGTTATTGTTGAAAGTGATGTTGTTTTCGAAATTGATGTTGCTGTTGTTGCTGATGATGGGTCATTGTGGTTTGCAATATTGTTAGATTTATAATTCCGATTATGTTGATAGTCATGCCGGTAGTGTTGCTGATCAAAAAGTTTAGTACGTTGTCCGTTCTGTGGGCAGTAATAATTGCGTGACTGTTCAGTTGTTGTTGAGATGTTGTAGTTTGTCACCGTTGTTGTTGTTGAGTTGATGAATGTGGGTGTGGCCACCGTAATGACGTCACAGGGTACATGCCAGTATTCGATTAGTTGACGGTAGTCTTTAAAGTTTTGTTGGTGTTGTTGGAGTTGGTGTTGCGCGTGTTTATGATGCTGCAGTTGATTGTGCGAGTGATAACATCGTTGGGGGTGTTGTTCCTGACGATGTCCTAGGCGCTGTTTCTCTTGAAGTTGCTGTGATGGTTGATAGTGTTGCTCGGTTGGGGAGTTTTGAAATTTGTTACATTTTTGCTGCTGGTATGAATGCTGTTTCTTGGTGTTGTGAGAACTTTGATGGAATCGTTCATCTCTACCGAACAGATTATTTTGAATGAACTTCTGACCTTGGGAAGTGCTCTTTTCAAAAACAGCGTTGCTATTGTGAGAAAAATTTAAGTTCTCTTTCAACATCTTTACAAGTTTTGACGACATCAACCAGTTCTTCACTCCACTGTATATGTAGAAATTTTTACTATCCGCATCAACAACACTCGTTTCTGAATGGCATTTTTGAAGATTGTTGTTACATGATGATGAAGAAGAAGAAGATGTCGTTGTCGTCGTTGTTTTTGTTGTTGTTGCTGTTGTTGCAGAGTGGCTGCGCAACTTGTCATATCTGCAACAAAGTTCATTGATTCGTCTGTGGAGATCAGCATAGAAATTATTTCTCCCTTCGTTGTACTGGTCGGTCATTTCTTTGATGTCTGACTCCAACGTTTCAATTATTGAAATTAAAACTTATCAATTAATAATAATTAATGATGATCAATTTTTTAATATTATTTGACGACTCAAACAACTAAAAAATACTTCGGTGCGGAAATGGTTAAGGTGCTTGCTTAGTCTTATTGCATAGAGAGAGAGTGAAAACGTATGATGTGTGTGTGTGTGTGTATGTGTGTATTCACAAATGTGTTTGTGTTTAGGCGTGGTGCGTGTATTCTCGTACGTGTGTTTGTGTGTCTGTGTGTGTTTCATTTTGATACTTTGTAAAATTATAGAAAATGTTAATGATGACATGTTATTAAAGTTTTTCAAATCATCAACAATTTTCGGATTTTTATTGGCAACGCTATTGATGACTATTCATTCATTCATTCATTTAAAATCAATTCAACTCACCATTATCACTGAGTGAAATTTTGATGGTGAAGAAATCATCTACGTCATCATCTACGTCATCACCACCATCATCTTCTTTATTGCAATCCCTTTCATCGCAATTTTTGTGAGTGCCAACATGATCACTTGCATCACTCATCTTACCATCCTCATCATCGTTTATCATCTTTTTCATTGTGACATCATCATGGCCACCATCTAAATCAACATCATCACTTTCGTCATTATTATCTTTGCACGTATTTTTAATCACATCATCGTTACTGCGTCTGATTATTTCTTCATCATCGTCATCGTTTTTATCATTAATGTCTTTGTTAGCGCAACAGCTAATGTTGATGTTTCCAGCTCCATCATTATCAATACCAGCAGCTAAATGTTTACACGATGACGACGACGACGACGATAAAGATGGCGGGAAAGATGATGATAATGATGGATAAGGTACCGGTGATGATTTTGGATTTATAAAACTGGATAGTGGAAATGAAACTGATGATGAAGATAATGACGATGATAGTAATCTAGAGTATGAATAATAAACAGTAGTTGATTGTTGTTGCTGCTGTAGTTGTTGTAGCTGTTGTGGCGGCTGTTCTAGCTTCTGCTGCTGTTGTTTGGGTTTTTGTTGCAAATTAAAATGACGTCGTTCTATTTTATAAAGCATATTTCCTATCAAACTGTTTATCTGTTCATGACGGGTTAATTTGAAATTTTTATCTACAACAGCGGAACAATTTGTTTTGCTAAATTGTTGTCCTTGTGGTTTTGGCGGTTGAAACAGCTGCTGATTTCGATGTTGTTGTAGTTGCTGGTGTTGTTGTTGATGATGTTGATGTCTTTGCAAGGAATGCGTTCTTCCGAATGATACCCTGGAATGTGTTTTCGGCAACTGTTGAAACATTTGTTGATGTTGCTGTTGCTGCTGCTGCTGTTGTTGTTGCGTGTGGCGTGGTAGTTTACGTTGATCAATTTGAGGCTGTTGCTCCTGATAACGATGATGCTGTTGTTGGTGCAGATTGACGTCAGAGTATTGTTGATGACGTAAATATGGAGAAAATTGTTTATGTTGTTGTTTTTGTTTAATATGGAAATGTTGGTGTTGTTGATGACGTCTTAATTGCTGTAACTGGAAAACATTATCTCCACTGTACACCGAGGCACCAGTCGCCATCCTGCAATCAATCACGGATTGGGATTTGCACAGGGCTGCTGAGTAATTGTTGTTTCGGTTGGCTAGGAGGGCACGCAAATTTTTGTGGATGTCAATCAATAGGAAATCTCTGCTTTTGTCTTTTGCCTGTGTGGTTGTTTAAACGAATGGGAAAACAGGCAAACAACGAACAAATGTGCGAACAAGCAAACAAACGAACATGCAAACAAACAGACAAATATGTGAACAGGCATACAAACAAACAAACACGATGAACCGACCTTTAATTCTTCAAATTTCTTATAAAGTTCATTCTCCTTCACAAGCATGGTGTTCGTTATGGCCATCCTGATAGTTTCCCGCCTCTGCATCTCCAGCCGATTTCTGATAACTTCACCACTTGCACAGCTGTCTGTGGAAAAAAAATAATATATTATACTATAATTAATTAAATTATGATAGTTATAATATTAATTATAATTAGATACATAATGACTTTATTGAAGTTTTTATCGCCAATATAATTAACATCGAACATCTTTTTTTCTCATCATTTTCTCCCTCACCCCCTCCCTCTGTCTCTCTCTATCTTTTTTTTTCTCTTTCTCTTTTTTTATTGTATAATTTTTTCTAACATGTTCATGTACAATGATTGATGGTATTGATTAAAGTGATGTTATTTCCTTACACAAATGTCGTCACCATGCTAAGAAACAACGTCAGAAAATGAAACTTATAATTATAATATACATAATTAAATAAAAATAAACAATTAAATGAAGTAATAATTAAAATAATAATTGTAATTTTTATTTATTTTTTATAATTCGGCTAAAAATTTACTTTGATTTTCGTTTGTCACATTGTCTTTATCCAAACCAACACCTCCAGTATCATGGTTTGAATTTGTTGTTTGGCACAGCGTTTGTTCAGATGAAGTTAATGCTGGCGAGTTTTGCTTTGTTGCTGGTTTTGTTGATGTTGTTGTTGTTAATGTTGTTTTTTTTATTACTGTCATGGGCGTTAAATGGAGAGCTTTCTGTGATGTTGTTGATGTTGGTGATGGTGTTGATGTTCTTTCTAATGTGGTTGGTGAAAATTTTGTTGATGTGTTTTGTTGTTTTGAGATTGTTGTCTCGGTAGATTGTGTTGCTGGTTTTGTTGCTGTGTTTCGATTGGGTGATTTTAATTGTTGGTTATTGTTTGATTTTTGTTGCTGATTTTGTTGCTGCGGGTTTTGCTGCTGATGTTGATGCTGCAGTAGTAACTGTTGATGTTTTATTTGCAGTTGTTGGACATACTGATCCAGTTGTTGCTGAAGTTGTTGTTGCAGTTTGTGCTGTCGATGGTACAGCAGTTGGAGATCTTGTTGATTTTTGAGTAGAGTCAGTTGCACGCGAGCTGAATTTTGCATGAAAAGTTTTGTGTCTCGGGACAGAAGAGAAATCATATTTTTGTTTTTGTCGTCGTCGTCTTTGTTTTGTCGTTGCTTTGATTTTTTATTGTCAGAAAAATGTTGTGGTTTGTGTGATGAAAAATGTTGCTGCAGCGGCTGTCGCGATTGATGTAATTGCTTGTCGCTAGTAGATTGATGTTCGTGTCTATTCATTGGACTTTCGTAAGATTGATAATGATCGTCGGCAAAGTTATTAAATAGTTGTTGCTGGAGTTGTTGCTGTGAGTGCGTCTGTTTTGGATGTTTCAGTTGCTGTTGTTGCTGTTGTTGTTGTTGTTGTTGTTGTTGTTGCTGCTGCTGCTGTTGTTGCTGGGTTATTGTTTGCATAAGTTTCAGTTTTGAAAGGGGTTGTTTGTTGGGTGGCGATCGAGTTGCATTACTTGTTGCGGTGCCTAGATTTGTCTTGTTGCTACGCAGTTGTGTGATTTTTTCTGTTGTTGTTGTTGTGTCTGTTCTTGCAGAGATATGATCTGGCGGGGTGTATTTGGTTTCTATTATTTTTTTAGCAGTTGTATAGGCTAGTTGCAGTTTAGTTGTTGGTGTCGTCGAGAATATTCTTGACATTTTGTTGTTCGGTGTTGTTTTTCTAGTGAAATTCGCAGACTGCAAATTAGCATCATTAACTATATTCTTTTTCTCTGTGGACAAATTTTTCAATTTTGTTGCTGCAACTGCTCCTAATGGCAGTTTTTTAACGTGATGTTTACTGTTAGGCAACAAATTTGATGAAATTTTCGTCGCGGGATGGTTGCGCGACGAGACAACATTTTTAGTTTTTGTTGTCTCGGAAACATCATTTATTTCCTGCGTTGGATTATTTTTCATTGCAGCGCCGTCTACGTATTTTTTGTTTTCCATGCTCACATCTTCCATTGTTTCTCTTCTTCTCTTCTGATTTCTTTTCCTTCGTTCTAGCTCTCTCTTGGCATCAAATACTGTGTCGAAATGTATTAAAATGTAAAGAGGTATTAGGTAAGAGCATATTTGCATTTTTATTTACAAACATTAATAAATGGATGAATAAATGAGTGAATAAATAAATAAAAAAAATAATGCATCGTCATCAGTATCATCATCATCATCACCACCACCATCGTCATCATCTTCTTCTTCATCATTATCGTCCTCATCATCACAATCACGATCACCATCGCTGAGTCGTAATAGTTTGTGAAAAATGTTGAATATCGTGCGAAAAATTTCCAATAAACGTCATGCATACTTTGATTGACGCGGAAAAATGTAATGATGAAGATGATAATGATGATGACGACGACGACGATGATGATAATGATGATGATGATAATGATGATGACGATGAAGATGATGATGAGGAGGAAAAGGAGAAAGAGAAGAAAAAAAGATGATGATGATGGAAAATGATGGAGATGACTACGAAGACAGGAAGACACAGAACAAGCAGTAATTCGGTTTTGATATATTTTTCCTTTAAAATTTTCTATTCGTAAAAACGTATTTTACAAATATTTATAAAAATATCTTGAAAAATAAATTATACATTTTACATAGAAAAAATTAAGAAAAATCGAATAAAATAAAAGGAACGAAATACAAACCGATAAAAAATTTGACGAGATTCCGTGGCAGAGTAATTCTTTCTTGGAATTTGTATTCAGCCATTTTATTTCATTTGTATAAACTTTTTGTATTCTCTGTATGAACTTTGTATTAATTTGGAATTAACTCAGCATTAGTTTTGTATGTTTGCGTGGGTTTTGTATGTTTTATGCATTGTATAAGTTTGCATGGCTTTGTGTGGGAGTGAGTGTCGGTTTGTATGTTTGTGTGTTGTGTGATTGTATGATGCCCTATGTTTGTTTATTTGTTTGTATGTTTTTTCAAGGTATGAGTTTGTATGTGTATGTTTGTTTGCTTGATTACATTATTTGTTTTTGTATGTTCCTATGTTTGTTGTATTTTATATCGAATGTGATTAATGTTTGGCATGTACGGACGTTGTATAGGTATGTATGTTGTAGATTCGATTTTTGTTCACATTGCTTGTATGTTTATGTGTTTAAATGTTTGTATGTTTGTGTGTTTTTATGTTTGTATGTTTATGTGTATTAATATATGTGATTGATTTTTTATTTATTTATTTCTCACACATCCTCTGTCAGATTGTAATTATTTTTTTTAATTATTTAAAAAAAATATAGATGTAGTTTCATGCGGCAAAAGTTTTAATTCAGTCTCGTCTTCCTCTCATTCACTAGGTTGTTGATGGCCTTCCGTATATCTAATTTTCATATGTTCGTGATTAATTGTTACGTAAAAGAAAAATATTAAATATTGAATTCATAATCAATTATTTGCAATTAATGAGCAATTGAATTAACAAGCGATTTTATTAGTTATTATTTTGTAAACTAATTATAATATTATAATGCACAATTTTGATTTTAAATAAGTTCTCTAATAAATTGAAAAAGATAAATAATTAGTAGTATGTATGTGTGTAAGTATGTATGTATGTATGTATGTATGTATGTATGTATGTATGTATGTATGTATGCATGTATGTATGTATGCATGCATGCATGTATGTATGTAGGTATGTGTGAATGAATGAATGTATGTATGAACGTGTGTATGTATATGTGTTTTTTTGTATGTTTCTATTATCGTACGTATGTTTGTATTCATGCATTTTCAAAATGTATGTACTTGTATCCTGCATAATTCTCATATTTACTTATTGCTTATTGTTTATGTTTACTTTCATTTTTCATGACGTCAAAACCATAGATATAAAAATTATTATAACTATGTTATTGTGGATTACTTTTTTATAATATATTTTTTAAAAATATTATAAAAATATTACTATACTAAGAAAATTATGAAATTATTATAAATTAATATTACAAATAATCAAAAAGAAATAAAAAAAACTAAATAACTCAAAAATAAAGATCATTATCTTGTCTGTATTTTGTTTTTTTCATCCTTCCATTTCCGACGAAAATAAAGATAAAAAAAATTTTTTTGGTGTGCTTGACTCGAAATTGAAATCGTTTTGTATCGCCAGGAAATCAAACTGCCATTCAAATGAATAATAATAATAATAATAATAATAATAATAATAATAATAATAATAATAATAATAATAGTAATAGTAATAGTAATAATAATAATGGTAATAATAACGAGGAAAGATATCACCGTAAACATAGAATGACAACGAAATTACCAATGGCTGTATATCTGTCATGATTTCTTATTTGACACGCACGCACGCACACGCACACAAAAACAAACACACACCACACCACACGCACGCACACACTCATATACACATAAATAGACACTCAGTAGCTTAGTGTCGCGCGTTTGCCGCCAAAGACACCAGCAGCGATGACGATGACGACGTGTGTGGCGAGGATGAAGTCGCCGACTGAACGCTACTTCCAACTTTGTCGTAATGTTCTTCGTAATCTCCCTTGCTTTCGTCAGCAAGTTTTTTCTCGTCACGTGTTTTCTCGTTGGTAATTTTTTGCGCTTTCGATTTTGCCGGGAATTCCGAAAAATGACAATCGATTACTGAGACGAGCGTGGGCGGATGGTGATTGATTGATCTGGGTTTTTTCGGGCAGAATCTTAAAAATCGAAAGCGAAACCAGCGGTGTTTTCTGTAGCAGAGGAAAAGGAAAATTATTAAATTACCGGATAATAAGACGCACCCCACGATGGCAATGTAGTTCAAAGTGTCAAGGTCAATTGATGATGACCATTGAAATGATGATGATGATGATGAGGATGAGGATGAGGATGATGTCAATGGATATGATGATGATGAGTTGATGTAATTGTTATAAGAATTTTCATCGTTGTAGATTAACATGTTGTTGTCGTTCCCACTAATATCATAATTGTTGTTGTTGTTGTTGTTGTAATAATCATTATAACTGCCGTACGATATTTTGTCGTTTTCACCTTCGTTGTTGTCATTAATGTTGTTAGCTGTGTTGTTGTTGGTGTTATTAATGTTGAAATAATTGTTGTTGTTGATGTTATTGTTGATGTTATTGTTGATATTGTTGTTGTTTTTGACAACTGTGCGAGTTATAAAATTGTCAAATGGTTGAAAACGTTTCTGAGTGACAATAAAATACGAAGAGAGATGTTTTTGTTGTTGTTGCTGTTGTTGGTTTTGTTGTCGCTGGGTTTTTTGTTGTTGTCGGTATTGTTGGTTTTGTTGAAATGGTTGTTGATTTTCTTGGTTATGTTGAAATGGCTGTTGACTTTGTTGTTGATACTGCTGATAATAATTTTGTTGGCGGTTGAATCTTTCTGTTTCTGCATGCTCTTGAAATTGTTGTAGATGTTTGGAGATATTTTGGAAATAATTTTGCTCTTTTTGTTGTTGTTGTAGGTTTGTTTTTATTTCAGCGCCGACGTTAATGTCAGTCATTGTGGGGTTGTCAAGCACTGAACTATTATTCCGGATAAAAATTTTGATGACGTTGTCGTTGTGTTTGCTGTTGATGTTGATGTCACCGTTGACGTTGTTATTGTTGTTGTTATTGTTGTTGTTTGGGCTGTTGTCGTTGTGGTAATTATTTTTATGGTTATAATTTTTATTGGTGTCAAAAAGAACCATGTTTCTTTTTTTAATCGTTTTAAAATGTAGAAAGGAATTTGTGTTGTTGTTGTTGTTGACATTATTGTAATAGTTGTTGTAATTGTTGTTGTCAGTAATGAAATTGTTGTTGTCAGTAATGAAATTGTTGTTGTCAATGCCAACATTATTGCTGTCGTTGCTGTTAATGTTGGGTACGTCATAAAAAAAGTCGTCGTTGGAGTTGTACTGTTGTGGCTGTTGTTGTGGTTGTAGTTGTGGTAGCTGTGGTGGTTGTAGTTGTGGCAGTTGTGGTGGTTGTGGTAGTTGTGGCTGATGTTTAATGTGCCAATCATACAAAGGATAAAATCTCGTCGCGTCATCTTCAAAAGTTTGTGGGTCGTTAAAGTTTTGTAGTTGGTTGTCGAAAAATTGGGTAGCAGTGTTCGCGTCTGTGTTAGTTGTTGTTGTTGTGTTGATTTTGTTGTTGTTGTTATTGATGTCAATGATGCTATTTTTGTTGTTGTTGTTGTCATCGTTAATTCCTTCATTTTTTGAAAGAATTTCATTCTTAATATTATTTTTAATGACGCCCTTGAAATTTTTTTTGAAAAAACTGTTAGAAAAACTAATGGTTTTGATGATTGTGTTGTTGTGAGTGTTGTTAGCACTGTCGTAAATGAGATTATTGTGGTTGTTACTGATGTTATTGTTGATGTGGTTTGTATTGCTGTCGTTGTGTCTAATGAGATACATTGAAGTTTTACTACTACTTCGCCAGTAATTAATTCCGTTGTTCGTCTTGTTGTTTCTACTATCGTTAATGTAATTACTGTCTGGCGTGTTGTTATTGTTGTTAATGTCATTAGTGTGATTGATGATGATGTTGTTGTAATCGTTGTTGTAAAAATTTGTATTTCGGTTAATGTTTCTGATAGCAATGCGACTGGTTTTGTTTAGATTTTGGTCATCAATTATGAAGCTAATACAATCTATAATTATATTATTATTTTTCTTTTTCTTTTTATTATTGTTGTTGTTATTATTGTTATTATTTGTGTTATACATGTATTTTACAACAATATTAATGTCACTATTATTGTAAGCGTCTGAAGTGCAAATGAGCTTTCCATTGCTTGTCGTAATGGTTGTTATGAATTCATATTTGCTTGTGTTGTTGTTATCGTTGTTGGTATTAATGTTGTTGTTGTTGTTGTTGTAGTAGTTTGTATTGTTGTTATTTGTCATGTTTATGTAAGTCGTATTGTTGTCGGTTGTTGTTGTTGTAATAGTTGACTTTATAAACATTTCGTTGTTGTCTTTGTTGATGCTAGAACAATTGACGTTGCTACTACTGTTGTTGTTGATGTTTTTGATGTGATGAAACGTTAAGCATGTTTTAATGTTATTCTTATCATTATTTGATTCAATAAACTTTGGTTCATTTTTATTGTTAATGTTGTTGTTGGTTCGTTTTAAAAGACTTTTGCTTGTTGCGTTGTCTATGCTGTCGTTGTTTTTATTTGTAAGGGTATTATTGCTATTATCATTATTATTATTATTATTATTATTGTTGTTGTTGTTGTTATTGTTATTATTATTGTTATAATTGTCTTTGATGCCAGAATATTTATAGGTAGCGTTGAAGATATAAAGAACGCCGCTATTACTCTTATTAACAACCTGGTTGTTATTATTATTATTGTTATTATTATTATTATTGTTGTAATTATTATTATTATTATTATTGTTGTTGTTGTAATATTTGGAACTGTGATTTATTCCGAAAGTCGTTACAACAGTTTTAGCAGCAGCAGTTGTAGTAGCAGCAGTAGTAATAGTAGTTGTAGTATTAGTGGTATTAGTGGTATTATTATTATTATTATTAGTAGTAGTAGTAGTATTAGTAGTGGTAGTTGTGGTTGTAGTGGTGGTAGTTATGTTGCAGATTGAGTTATTTGAGTCACGGAACCCACAGCGCTTGATACCTGATAGTCCGATGCCTGAATGAATAAACCAAGATGATGATGATGGCGATGATGAATAAAATGATGATGATGATGAAGAGGGTGATGATGATGATGATAAATAAAATGATGATGAAGAGGGTGATGATGATGACGGTGGTGATAATGATGATGGTGATGATGATGGTTATGATGATGAGGGTGATAATGATGAATTAAATATTGAAGATGATGATTGTGATTATGGTTTGATGATGATGACAATGGAAATAAATATGACGTACCACAAGATGACTATGACGATATTAATTGTAATGTTTTTTTTTAAATTCAACGCTACCTATTTTTTAAAAATTAATTTTAATTAGTCTCGGGTTCGACTGACACAATTCATGCTGTTCGATCTTAAGCCGAGACCTAGTGCAGCTCTCCTGCAAACCAACTTGCTTGATAAATTCTCAGGTGCCAAACCATGCAATGAATGAAACACCAATTTCGTAGATTATTTTTTTATTGATTTTTAACCAGTGAAGTTCATTCAGAAGCGGAGAAACGCGGTCAATTTTCAATCTTCTCATTTCTAATTTTGCAGCCCGATTCTGAATTGACTGAGTCATAGCAATAGACTTGTCGGGCAAGTTTAAAAACAAGCTGTTACAGTAACCTAGACGAGATGTTCTCAAAGCAAGAACCAGCCTTTCTATTGCAGGTCTATTCAAGTAATGTCGAATTTTATTTATTTTCTTAGCTGAACCATGTTTGTGACTGATAGTATTTTAATATGTTGCTTCATTGATTGGGAGTCTGTTATCGGACCAGACGCCTAGATTCAGCACAATTGAATCAAAAGTTAAATCAACTTCGCCAATCCTTACTGAGCCGATGCTAAACTTAGACAACTGTTGCCTGGTCCCAATGGGAGCAATTCAGTATTAAAATGATTAATCTCAGTGAGTTACCTGACACCCATTCTCCAATTTTCAGCAAGCAATTCGCCAATGCCTCGATCTCTGTCTGGAAAGACTCCGGTTTGCCAGTTGTTATTATCTCTATATCATCAGCAGATGCCATGGGAATTTGTTTGTATATGTGTATTTGTGTGTTGTAACGCTAGTATATACTTCATATTAGCAAACAGAAAGATCACTGCTTGTGAAAAAATTTAAGCATTAATGAAATGCGCTAAAAAAACGAGGCAAGATGACGACGACGACGAAGATGATGACGACGACGGTGACAATATTGAAGAGGGAGAAGGATAATATTTTGCAGAGAGGATAATGATTGATTTGTGATGAGAAAAAAATTTAACGATCATTAATGATGAGTAAAAACATTTATAGAAATTCTGTGGAATTAAATTACGTTTAAAATTGATTGTGAGAATTCGGTGATAACATACTCCTGATAAGAATGATAAAATGGGAATTAAACTTGAAAAATAAACCTTCGTTTAAATTAAATAAAATTTGCTGTAAAATAACGCCAAAAATATGAGGACGAAAGCTAAGGCGATGATGAAAGCAATGATGATGATGTATACGATGATGACAAATGATGAAGACAAAAGATAATGAACAACGATGAAGGTCTGTGTGTGCATGGGTGTGTGCGTGTGTGTGACGTATTTCAAGCCTTATGACGTAACGCATACGTAACGTGAGACCGCATAACACTTCAAATTCACCTCGTTTATTTTATTTCTCTCTCCTGCTTTCTCTCTTTTTCTCTCTGTCTCTCTCTATCTTTTCTTTTTCCTACTCTTTTTCTCACTTTCATTCTTTTCTTTCTTTTTCTCTTTCTGTATTTTTGTTTTCCGCCATTATTTACCATTTCCTCTGCTTCACGTCTCTCTCTCTCTCTCTCTCTCTCTCTCTTTCTCTCTCTCTACATCTTTTTGTTTCTTTTGCTTATTCGTTATCATGTCATCTTTCTTTCTTTTTTTCTTTGTAGGCCTAATTATGTATTCATGCGCCGAGGAATGTAGGAGGGAAAATAATTCCTATTGGGCACATGAAGAATTAGCATATGATGATGATGACGATGATGATGGCGATGATGAAGATGATGGTGGTGATGATGAAAATACCATAATGATACAACGAGATGAGATGGTGATTGTGATGATAACATAGATGGTGATGTTGGTGGCCGAGTTAAAGGTTACGAGGTAAAACATAAATTATGATAATAGCGGTACGGGAACAAATGATGGCATGAATGGAGATGAATGATGACGCTGATGATGACGTTGGTGATGGGTAAGATGATGATGGTGGCGGTGAGGGTGATGATGATAATGATGGCAAGGTTAAGGGTTAGGTGGGGTGAAGCATAAATTTTGATGAAAGCGATAAAGAAACAAATTATGACGTGGACATAGATGAATGATGGTGATGACGACAACGATGATGAAAAGATGATGAAGAAGATGATGATGAAGAAGATGATGATGAAGAAGATGGTGATGAAGAAGATGATGAGGAAAAAGATGATGAGGAAGAAGATGATGAGGAAGAAGATGATGAGGAGGAAGAAGATGATGATAATGAAGATGATGATGAAGAAGAAGATGATGATGATGAAGATGATGATGAAAATGATGATGAAGAAGATGATGATGAAGAAGATGATGATGATGGCAAGAGCAAACAAATAACCCACTTAAAACACGGCTCTCCTGATTGGCTGCAGGGTAATTAGGTCGAGAAGCGTCAAACAAATGACCTCGTTTATAATTTAGTTTCATGTACCTGTTTGTTATTGAATCAGTAAAAAAAATGAATGAAAGAGTGAATGAATGAATGAATGAGTGAGCGAATGATTAAATGAGTGAACAAATGAATAAATGAACGAATTAATGTTAAAATGAATGAATGAATAAACTAATGAGTGAATGATTGATCGAAAGAAAAAAAAATTTTCCAAACTAACTAGCGAAAAATTGACGGTAAAGACCAGCAAATCAACAAACAATGAACGAAAGTAGTTGAATAAATTAATTAAAAAAATGAATGAACGAAAGACTGAACAAGCAATAAAATGAGGAAAAAATAAAAGAATAAAAGAAAGAAAGAAAGTATCGATGATGAACGAGAGAAGGTAGCGCCCAATATATTAATGAGATCACAGCCATTCATCATAATAACTCTCTCAAACGCTTACTATAATGTACTGACACCGCTCAAACTGATGACGACGACGATGAGGATGTTGTTGATGATGATGAAGATGACGATGATGGTGGTTATGAAAATTATGATAATGATGATGATGGGGAATGATGATGGTGATTACAACAACAACAACAACAACAACAACAACAACAACAACAACAACAACAACAACAACAACAACAACAACAACAACAACAACAACAACAACAACAACAACACAACAACAACAACACAACAACAACAATGATGATGATGATATAATAAAATGAACGGTGATAAAATTATGACGTTAAAATCATGAAGAGGATGACATCATGATACATGATTATGGTGATAAATTTCAATGATACAAATTTGATTAGAAAGATTACGGTGGTAATCAGAGTCGGTATAAATAGTCAAAAATTGTATCGCCTTTATCAATATCGGCTATAAAATCGTATTGCCGACACCGAAACCTATTTTCGAAAACATTACCGACAATACCAATACTTTTTTATTTTTCCAACATTCCTACGTGAAAGCGGAACTTTAGCTTCAATCACGAAAAATGCATTCGTTAGTTGATTTTTAGTGTGAAATTGATTTTTTAAAGATTTATTGTTTGAATGGTTAAATTTGAAGCAAGTTAAAATGAATGTATTCAAAGAGTCGTGGTCGCATTTTGTTTGAGATCTGGCTGTCCCTGAAAGATCTTTTAGTTATTTCTGAATAAAAAGGGCAATCTTATTGTCCAGCTTTTTATGAATTTATTGGAAACGAATGAAATTATTCCAGCCCAAATTGCAAATATTTTTATTTTATTGAAAGAAAAATATTTTGTTGTAGTTTTTTTCAAGTCACTCAAAAAAGCGAGAAGTACCGAACAAGTTTTCAAATAGGAGCATGCAAAACACTGCAAGACTTTATTTCAAATCCAGAGTTTAACTTTATTTTAACGCGCTTAACATTGAAAACTGAAATAATAATAGCAACAACAACAAAAATATTTAATAATCAAATAGTGATGGTCATGATACCGGAAGAAGATCATATTTGCGCTAAAAAATACCAAAAAACCTCTCGAACGCACCCCAACGCCGCACACGTATGTACGCGTGTTTGTATTTCGCTGGGCTCAGCAACCGGAAATGATGAAATGCTTGTCAGGTGCATGAAAGAATGAATAGATAGATGAATGAATGAAGGGAGGAATGAATAGATAGATGAATGAATGAAGGGAGGAATGAATAGATAGATGGGCAATAAAATGAATGGATGGATGGATGAATGAATGAATGAATGAATGAACGAATGAAAAAATGGTTTAAAGAATGACTAGATGAACAAATTTATACATTTTAGAATTATCGAATTTATGAACAAATGAATGAATGGAGTGATAGATGATCAGACAAATTATTGAATGAATTAATGAATTGAAAATGAATGAATGAATAAATGAATGACAGATAAATAAATAAATGAAGAACGAAAGGAAATTGAATAAATAATAATCAACAGACTGAACTAGATATATAGAGAGATAAAAAAAATTGAGAAGTAGATGGAAAGATAGTGATGTGATGGAAAGAGGAGGGGTGGTTTGGTCCAATGGGCCATTTGAATCAAAATTTATGCCTTGCTATTTGAAATGATGTCACTGATATAATTTGAGGACGTTATCTGATAGGAGCAAGATGATTAAAATGAACGAATGAATGACTGAATGGTTGAATAGACTATGAATAAATAACTTAAAACAAAACGCTCAATAAAAATATTTCAATTACAAACAACACACACACGCAGCACACACACACACCACACACACACATATATACACACACACACGCCACACACGCGCACGCACGCACGCACACGTAAAAGCAAAAATATAGCAAAGTCAAAAAAATTAATGTCATTAATTTATAAAATGCAAGAAATAATGATGCTTAATCAATACAAAAGAGGATTACTTCTCTTCAGAAAGACCGCCAGGCTTAAACACGTTCTCCACACAAATACTTAGAGCATTAGAGGCATTAAAGCAACAAATATTCGAGAATAATTTGTTGTTTTTTGGAATTATTTCGCATTCCTTATAAAAATCGTTATTTATATTCATATTCATATTCATATTATTATTATTATTATTATTACTATTACTATTATTATTATTATTATTATTATAGTTGTTATTGTGATTGTTGTCTTCCCAGATGTGACCATCGTATGGATTAGTGATGTCATCAACACTGTTTTTGCTGGTTTCGTCAAATGAAACTTTGATTTCCATATTTAAAATATTGTTGTTGTTGATGTTGTTGATATTGATGAAGTTGTTGTTGTTGTTGTTGTTGATTTCTGTATCATTCAATTCGCGATGGTTGATACATGGTTTAATAACATTAGCGTGGTTGCAGGTATTTTTGTTGTTGGAGTTGATGTTGTGGTTGTTTGTGTTGTTGTATGCGTGGTTGTTTGTGCTGTTGTATGTGTAGTTGTATGTGTGGTTGTATGTGTTGCTGCATGTGTGGCTGCCTGTGTTGTTGTATCTGTTGATGTTTGTGTTGGTGTTTGTGATGTTTGTTGTGTTAAATTCCTCTACGAATTTAATAGCGTTTTTGTTTAATGAACAATTAGAAATATCATCATTGTTGTTCTCAATTTCACCATCATCATTGTAGTTTCCGTCCAAATCTTTTTCTTCAGCATCATCAACATCTTCATTATCATCTTCATTTTCATCTTCATCCTCTTCATTATCAATCTTAATAATGATGGAATGAGATGGTGGTGCTGATGATGATGGTGCTACCGACTGACTTTGAAGACACAACTTGATGACTTGCTTCTCAATATACCCGCCAGCTAAATAAACAGAACGGAAATCACGTGATTTTCCGCATGTGACTACTATTTCCGGTTCCGGTGTCTGTGATACAAATTAATTTAGATACAAATACATTTTGGTGAAATTTAATTTGAGATTATAAAATTTTTCAAAATTTTGTTTTTCTTCGTTTGTTCTTCGTACTAATTGAAGAAAATAATATAATCAAAGTATTTTTTTAAAACCATTTGTTCGCCATAATTTATTTTCATCCATCACTCGGTTTCTCGTTAAATCTGACGGCAAACTTTTTTTCTTCATTCCAATTCTTACCACGTGTTAATTTATTACTTCTTTCATTTATTCATTTATTTATTCATTCATTTGTTTGGTTGTTTGTTTGTTTGCTCACTCATTTATCTATTCATTCATTTATTTTTTTAAACACTCATTCACTCAATCACTAAATCATTCGGTCATCAGTCTGTCATTTTCACAATTGATCTTTCCATTTTTCTCATCATCCATCTATACATCCATCCATCTATACATCCATCCATCCATCTATACATCCATCTATACATCCATCCATCTATACATCCATCCATCCATCTATACATCCATCTATCCATCCATCCATCCATCCATTCATCCATCCATCCATCCATCCATCCATCCATCCATCCATCCATCCATCCATCCATCCATCCATCCATCCATCCATCCATCCATCCATCCATCCATCCATCCATCCATCCATCCATCTATACATCCATCCATCCATCTATACATCCATCTATACATCCATCTATACATCCATCCATCCATCCATCCATCCATCCATCCATCCATCCATCCATCCATCCATCCATCCATCCATCCATCCATCCATCCATCTATCCATGTAACTTACTTGTAAGGAAAAATGCAATGGCTGTTGGTGTGACTTAATTTTAATGCTATCCACAGCATTTCCTGTCAATATTTGTCCCTTTTCAGTGTTTTTGGTTACGTTGATTTTATTGGTTTTGTTGTTGTTGTTTATATTATTATTATTATTGTTGTTGATTATGTTTACATTAGGTTTGTTTCTACTTGAATTTGTGTTCTTTGTGCCGGCTATGATAATGCTTGTTTTGTTTATGTGGCTGTTGTTGTTTATGTTGTTGTTTATGTTGTTGTTTATGTTGTTGTTGTTTATGTTATTGTTGTTGTTGTTTATAATGTTGCTGTTGTTTATGATGTTGCTGTTGTTGTTTATTTTGTTGTTGTTGTTGTTTATGTTGTTGTTGTTTATGTTGCGGTTGTTATTTATGTTGTTGTTGTTGTTTATGTTGTTTATGTTGTTGTTTATGCAGTTGTTGTTTATGCAGTTGTTGTTTATGTTGTTGTTGTTGTTTACGATGTTGTTGTTTATGATGTTGTTGTTTATGTTGTTGTTGCTAATGGCAACACGGTTGAAGAGTTCTCCTTTTCCATTAGTCCTTCCAACAACGCCACAACGTGCTGGAAAGAGGAAAAAGTTTTTTTTTGATATATATTGAAAATAAACATTCAGTTTTGTGTATCAAAATCGCGGTGGTTGTTGTTGATGTTGTTGTTTTTCTCATGCTTGTAAATGTTGTTGCTGTTGTTGTTGTTGTTGTTGCTGCTGCTGTTGTTGCTGTTGTTGTTGCTGTTGTTGTTGCTGTTGTTGTTGATGTTGCTGTAGCATATATTACTTTTTATTTGTTGCTGTTGTTGTTGCGAGACAACTCAACCACAACAACAATCAAAAGAACAAAAAGATCAAAAATGTGAGGTTGTTGTAAAACACAGCAGCCAAAAAAATCAATTGACAACTGGAAAGATATCACCAATAACAGAAAGCACTGCCGTAATAAAACAACTGCTGCCCAGAATAAAATCATGTGACCAACAACAACAACAACAACAACAACAACAACAACAACAACAACAAGATCATAAAAAAGCAACATCAACAAATGCGTTAACACAAACACCAAAACCTTTAAAAAATAACATTAACATATATTCTAATGCAACCAATACAAGAAGTGCAGAAGAGATAGAGGTTTTATAAATTGTGATAAACAATATCACAACAACAAAAGCAACAAAAACAAAAATAGTGTTCATGCAACAATATAAACAAACACAGTACAATAAATTTCAAAAAAAAACATAAACAACAACATCAAATAAAGAAACAAGACAAAACAACAAAAAACAGACAAACCACAAAATTTCTTAAACAATAGGCGCATCAAAATAATTGACAAAAGAAAATTATTGCTTCTAGATCAACAAAAACAACAACAACAGCAGCAACAATAACAGCAGCAGCAACAACAACCACAAAAACAACAATGACAACATCAAAAACCACAACAACATCACAACAACATCAACATCACAACGACAACAATGTTATAAATTTTACTGAAAAACCTTGCAAATGCCGAAATAAAGATGAATTTAAGCATTTGAAAATAACATAGGTACTTAATGTTGAGTTAGTTCTTGCCATAAACATTGATAGAATAATAATAAAAATAATTAGAATAATAATAAATATTATTATTCTTATCATCATCCTCTTCATCATTCTTATCACAGATATCATCAGCACCATTTGCAAGTAACAACGTCATCACCATTATGGTTAATATTATTGTTCTTATCATATCATATAATAATCATCATATCATTTTAATCTTTCTTATCATCATCGTCGTCATCGTTATCGTCATCATCGCCACCATTCGTTTATTTTCCATCACCCATAAATCACCAATAAGAAGACATTAAAGCTATCAATGACGTCAGCATCCATTGGGCAGGTCATAAAACAAAGATCACGAATAATGCTTAGATAACAATTAAATAAACGACGTTCGCACCATTAACAACAGCAACAACAGCAACAACAATAACAACAACAGCAACAGCAAAAACAACATCAACAACAGCAGCAGCAACAACAACAACAGTAACAACAGCAGTAACAACAACAGTAACAACAACAACAGCAACAACAACAGTAACAACAGCAACAGTAACAAAACAACAAAACAATAAAGTTCGTTACCTTGATGTTAATCAGACGTAGTATTTGATTCGCCACTATCATCTCATACAATTACTTCATAACCAAACAACAACAACACGCGTCCAAAACAATTGAGTTAATACCAACAATACTTAAAAAACATCAACAACAAATTTCACTTCAGTTGCAACAAAAATAAATCCCATAACAACAACAACTAAATCAACATTAGCGACGACGAAAATACCATCTACAGCAATCGCAACAACCACAACAACTACTACTACTACATTTACTACAGCCACAGTAACATCAACAGCAGCTGTAGCAACATCAGCGGCGACATCAACAACAATGGTTTCCGTATATGTAATAATATAATGAGACCCCTACCATTCAGACACATAAATTTTGATTTATATGTTCTCCAATATACACACGTAGACGCGATTTTTTTGATGATTTTGTTGTTGTTGTTGTTGTTAAAAGTTCTGTTGTTGTTGATGTTTCTATTGTTGATGTTTTTGTTATTAATGCTATTGTTGTTACTGCTATGGCTTGCTGACGCTAATGTTTTGCTTTTAATGTAATGGTTGCTGTTAAAAATGTAGCTGGTGTCATATGTGTGTTGATGTTTTCAAATTTCGTGACCTTTTTGTCTTTTTATTTCAGCTGCTGATGTTATTGCAATGTTATTGTAACTGTTAATGACTTTGTTGTTGATGTCTTTGTAGTGTAACAATGTCAATTTTAATGCGATGTTGTAGGCTTCTTAGTTTAATTTTCTTCTTCTTCTACAGTTCTGTCTTAATTATCTTTTAGAAATATCAACTACACGCGCGAACATCTCTTGTTGAGGTGATTTTAAGTTGTTTTAATTGATGTGATATTCAAATGTTATTTCGTTAACGTTAATGTTATCCATTTAGGAACCTGTAATTAAGGTTGGCTAATTCTGTGTTTATGTAACCAAATAAACAAGTGTCGTTGTCGATGTTGTTTCGTTGTTGTTGTTGTTGTTTTAGAGGTATTATTATTTGATCAGTGTTTATGTTTTGTTTTGTTTCCGTGGTATTGTATTTTTGTTATTTTTTGTCTTTGATCTAATGTTAAAACGCAACACCAAAGAATTTGAGTATTAGTGTCAGGTTATAAAAATCATACAACTTTGTTATTTGTTATTCATTAACGAAATGTCAAATTAAGAAAATTGTTGGTACATAGTAAGCAAGCAAAACGTGATGCTACTGATGTTGTTGCATTGAAGGATGGTTTATGTTTAGGCAAATGCTTATGCTCAAATAACTGGACATATATAAATATATATATTTAGTATGTTTTGTATAATTTTGTATATTCACACACGCACAAACAAACACACATAAACACACATACAAACAGACATAAACAAGCACACACGTACACAAACATGAAAATACACGCACATGCAACAAAGTTGTTCAAGGTGGAAGTTTCCTGAAACATAGTCTGCCAGTGCACTCTTTTTACATACATCTTTTGTCTCAAACGTATTTCTTGAGAAATTAAATGAGACAATTCGGTAGTTAGACATTCACACATACATACACGCACATACACACACACGTGCATATACACACACACATACATACATTTAAGTATTCATGAATGTTTTGATTAAGCCTTTTTGTTTGGCTTCACTGTTTCTTTAATACTTTCACGAAAAAAAACTCTTAATACAATTATGAATGAAAAAATAAAGTTTATGATCTTTTGAAGTGATAGCGATGTTTATGTTTTGTATTTTTTCTACTGGTATCATGGTGTATTTTTTAGGTATGTATGCATGTGGATGTGTATTCTAATACATACACACATGTATATGTATGTTATTTATGTTATTTAACATATATAAATATATCTTTATGTTTGGTTGTTTCTATTTATATACCTACACATAGACACACACACAGGCACATCATACACATACGCACGCACACACACAACACACACACACAAACAAACACACACACATACCTATATAAACATATATAAAATGTATATTATACATGCATACATACACACACAAATACGTCTTCGTTGTATGTCTTTGCGTATATGTGGGTATTCCAGTCTTGCGTATCTATAAAAGTGTGTCGATTCGAATACGGAAGCAATTTGTTGCGATGTAATTGAGCGCACGGAAAGAAACGTATGTGACGCTTGCTACACACACGTGTGCACGTGCAGGTAAATATGTATACCTGATTACATATATCTGCAGAGAGTAAGGTAGGTGTGTATACTTCTTTACTTCTTTATATATATCCACAGAGAGAGAGAGAGAGAGAGAGAGAGAGAGAGAGAGAGAGAGATAGAGAGAGAGAGAGAAAGAAAGAGAGTGAAAGAGAATGAGTGGGCTTTTGTTTACAAGCATTAATTTAACAAGCTAATTTTTTGTTTGTCACGAGAAACAAAACATTACATTACAAAATTTTAGCATCATAAGTACAAATTATTAGTACAAATAATACAAAATTTTAATGCCATTATTACAAAATATTAATAACATTAATACAAAATATTAATACATTTTTGGGGAGCTGCATCTGTAAGAGCAATCGTTAATATAAGTCTGCTCTAGTACCGTTATTACGTTTAATTGTATTTATATGACCAGTTGTAGAGGTATTAAAGGGAATTTTCAAAAGTTTTTCTTACTGGATGTGTGCGTGTGTCTGCGTGTGCGCGCGCGCGCGTGTGTGTGTGGTGTGTGTATTTTGTTCAAAACTCTTGTTTTACATTGTACATACACTTTTTCGTATCGAATTTCTTAAATCTCTGTTTCTATACTTATGAGAGCATCTGATGCTAGCACTGTAACGAGAACAATTTCTTTGATTTTATATTTATTGAAATTGAAAATTATGGATACTTATGCTTACGCTACAAAAGCTGTATCTTCTACACTACACTACACCACACTACACCACATCACACCACCTCATACCACACAAGAAACGCGCGTGATTTGCATAAGCGCACTTTTCGTGTGATAGTTTATTGGTTCCGGAACGGATGGTATTCGAACCAGGTCATCGCGCAATGACAAAATAAAACGCAAGGCATGGCACTTCTACCGCCTGTGCTAACTTTTCAACAATTTTCTGACATAAATACCTGATTGATTATTTTTAATTGGTTATTTATTTATTAATAAAATCTTGAATCAACGAAAATATCGTTTAATATTAAAATAAATTTGTCTTAAGTGTAGCCAGATAGAAGGGTTTATAGACATGAATGACGTCATAATGATGTCATGTGAACGTTGATATTTCCGTTCTTATATCGATCAATCATTTTTACGTCACTATCTATTTTTATCTAAGCTTTACACTTTTATATAAATAAGTATTTCAATTTTTAAGTAATGTTTAGTAGTGCGTGTGTGCGCCTGTGCGCGTGTGCGTGCGTGTGTGTGTGTGTGTGTACTTGATACTTGTGCGTGTACGTGTGAGTGCACGTGTATGTTTGTGCACGTGCATTTTTGCGTGTATGTGTATTGTTGCATATCTATGAAACCTAACTATACACAAACACTACTTAGTTATTGCATATTTTGTGTTTATATTGTGTATTTACGATAACGATGAGGATGACGATAATAATGGTGATGATGACAATGATGACGATGATTTGGAAGTGGTGATAATGATGAAGAAAATAATGAGAACTGAACTGATGATGATGATGATGACGATGACGATGATGATGATGTTGATGAGGATGATGATGTTGAAATGCCTACTGCCCTATCTTCCAGGTCTACACGCGATTCCATATTAGAAGGTACTGTTGTTGTTTTTTGTTGTCGTTGTTGTTGGTGGTGTTGTTGTTGTTGATTTTGCTGTTGTTGTTGTTGTTAATGTTGTTGCTGTTATCTATGATTTATGTGCGTGCAAATTGTTCGAAATCCTGTTCACTGTGTAAAATTTTTCCCAAAATCGTAAAATACCACGAAATATTATTTTTAATATTAATAACCTTATTATTATTCTTATTATGCGTTATTTTTATTATTATTTTTATTATTTACTGAAAAAAATAAAATAGAAACAAAATTGTTTCTGAGACTTAAATGCGGAAAAGTCCGGCAAAAATTGGAATAATTAATTCCGCACGTGCACATTAAAAAACATAAAAAAAAATACTACCACCAAAAATTACTACTACTACTACTACTACTGCTACCATCACTATTACTACTACATTTAGTGCTACTACTACTAGTACTGCTGCAGCCGTTGAAGCTACTGTCGTTACTGTCTATACTACTACTGTTATTACTGCTACTATTTCTACTTCTAGTATTTATATTACTAATACTAATACAGTAACTACTTTTATTACTACTACTATTGTTACTGCTACTACTATTGCTACTGCTGCTACTACTACTGCTGCTGCTGTCGCCGCTACTACTACTACTACATCTACTACTTCAACGTCACAGAAATTCAAGCATTGTAACAAACTAAGGAAGCGTAACCGCGGCAACAATAGATTGACGTCATTGCTGAATATGACGCACTTCCTCTTGGGTTTTTCCCCCATTGTCGTGAAGTTTCCACTCTAGTGTATTGGATCGAAAGACGTGTGTGGCGTGTGGGGTGATGATATGTCGTGTGTGGTGTGTGTGTCTTTTGTGTATGTGTTTGTGTCTGTTGTGTATGTGAGTGTGTGTGTGTGTGTTTGTCGTGAATGTGTGTGTGTCGTGTATGTGTGTTTCTGTATGTGCGTCGTGTATGAGTGTGATTGTAAATGTGTGTGTATTGTTCTTTATGTGTGTGTGTTCATTTATGTCGTTTATTGTCAGTAATGTATGAACAATTTCAACCGCAACAAATGATGATAGAAGATGGCGCTAAGGAAAGTGATGACGAAAAATGATAAACAGATGATAATGGTGAAAATATGGCAAAAATATGACGAATTGATGAAATCGCCATCACCATAACCGAAAATTTCTCATGGTTGCAATCATTCTGTCGGGTTTATCATGCTTTATCATCGGGTTTATTGCCGTAATCATAAAAATGATAAAATGAAACACGAATGATAATAATGTTAAAAATGATGACGATTATGTCAAATCTTTTTGCCATTTTTTAGTTTAATAGAAGCCATAGTTATACGCTTGTCAAAACGAACGTGTCAGGTGCTTTAATTTTAACTACTACTTTCATTTTAGCTGCCAAAAAAGTGCGATATCTTTTCTAGAAACCGTCATCGTTGTATATCGTATCGTATCGTATCTTATCGTATGTCGTATCGTTTTAATCGAAATCATTTTTTACGTTATCGGAATGGTTGTTGTCGTTTCGTTAGGGCTGTTATTGCTGTTTTTACTTTTGTCATCAGCTCGAGATTAATCACAAACATCAACATCATCGTCATCATCATCATCATCATCAACATCATCATCTTCATCATCATCTCTTCTTATTCTTCTTCTTCATCTTCTTCTTCTTTTTCTTCTTTTTCTTCTTCTTCTTCTTCTTCTTCATCTTCTTCATTTTCTTCTTCTTCATCTTCTTATTCTTTTTTTTCTTCTTCTTTCTTCTTCTTTTTCTTCTTCATCACAACCAGCAAAAACACCCCAAATCATCATCCTCACTCAGTATCGCTACCATTCATGCAAATTAGTGAGCGATTGTTGGCTATCACATGGATCTGAATATTAATAAGAACATAAAACTATATACTGCAATCGCAATAATAATGACATAAGGATGGCAATAATAACATTAACAATAATAATAAAGTTATTATTATTATTGTTGTTGTTATTAATTATGATATGATGATAATTCATATTTATCAAGTCAAGTTTCCATAATTTTCATCGTCGTCCTTTTGACCATAATTTTCAGTTTAACAGAATCATAATAATCAATACCGTTACCCTATTACGATTTTTCTTCTTCTTATTATTATTTATTATTATTATTATTATTATTATTATTATTATTATTATTATTATTATTATTATTATAGTCCTCGTCGTCGTCGTCATCAGCAAGCCGAAATGCAGCTTAAACATGGGAGATTATGATTTTCTATTAATGATAATATCATTTTCGCGTGTAGATTACATGCTTATCTTACCTCCATCTCCTTCTAACTCTCTCTCTCTCTCTCTCTTTCTTTCTGCCTTTTAATCTCTCTCTTTCTTTCTCTCCCTCTCTTTATTCTCTTTATTCATGTCTTGTTTTCTCTCTAATTTAACCCAACAAAAATATTTTATTCCCCTTCTTAAATTTTTTCATTTATTTTTTATGCCTATCTGTTTCTTTGTTTTTCTCTCTCCCTTTTTGTTTCTCTCTCTCTCTCTCTCTCTCTCTCTCTCTCTCTCTTTCTATATATATATATACGCGTTTAAAAATTCTTGAGAATTTTTCGCATTTAAAAACATCTAGGGATTATTTTTCATTTGCAATGAAGGATGCAAATTTACATTTTTAATCGAAACA